CTTTCCCTAAGGGCCTCCTGCTTTAAAAATACAAATACTGCCTTTTTTTTTCCCCTGCTGATGATAATATAATAAATACTTGCATCAGGGATGAAGCTTCACCCTGACACTCAGGAAGCAAAGCATGACATTCAGCATGTAGAAATTGAAGAAAAATTAAAGAAACACATTATTTAGTCCGTTAAGTCATTTCTTTTGCAAAATGTTGTTAAGCATTTTAGGGAGATGCTAATGGCCCTTTTTAAAAACAAAAAACTTCAAACTGGTGTCTGTTTTATAAATGACGAAGTCTTTATACAGGTGGGAATAATCACATTTGTGGAGAAGTTTTGCCTTTTAATGAAATATTTTTCCTTATGAAGGTGGAAGTGATGAACTGATTCTCCTAACACTTCAAACATGTAGCTCACATATGTGAACAGTCCAATAAAGGGCTATGAAGGAAAGGGAAGACTAGATAAGGTACTTAGAAAATGAAAATAACACAAATGTTATTAAACCTGTGCTTAAGCACTCACAGGGCTGGGGCATCAAAGAAAACATCTGTTCCACCCTCCTTCGTTTAACAAAACACTGCAATTACTTGAGTCAGGGTGTGCCAGTACGTGTGGCGGTGCGTGCTGAGGGAGGGCGGCACGTGTCATTCCTTGGAAACGGAGCTGAGCAGCGTCCTGAGGCTGATACGCTGGGGTTTTAATGTTTGTAAAACAGTATGAAGCTGCTTAAAATAAATGCTAAGGACTACTTTGGCACCTACATTCTCTTTCTGAGGGTTGGTGAGAAACTTGGAGTTTCCATTTTCGGGGGTAGCCTCATAACAATGCAGTCCTACTAGCAAGTGGCTTCTGAGCACAGCTTCCCTGGCTTCCCACTTGGCAAGTTTAGCACTTCCCCAGTTTCATCTTGTGTTCCTTTAGTATTTTAAAATAATGTTCAAGAGTCAGTTTCAAACATCTTTTGGATTAACATTAAACTGGTACCTAAGGGAACACTGCTTTCTCGTTGCAAGCGATGGCTTTTTATTTGTGGCTCTGCTCTAGTAGGAAACACTGCTGTGTAATTCGCAGGCCTCCGTAACACGGGGGTTGCTAGAAGCGAGCTGCCCTTAGGGGGCTTTTATTGCCTCCGTGAAACCCATGTAACTTCCCTGCTAGTTATGGGAACAGATGGAGGGAAGAGCGAGTCCTTTAAATACTTCCCCCTATATATTGTTATTTTTGTAGCTTTTTAAAAATGTAATGTTGTATGCCGAAGAATGCAATTCCACTATGGTCTCCCACTGCTTTCCAGTGTACAATATCAGACTGTTCAAAAGAATGTACTTGATAAGTGAACAGGAAAAGCTGTTTCCAAACTCTGTTGTGCTTGTGTCTAGCAATTGGAAAGACTTTTCCTATTTAAACCTAGAATTATATATATATATATATGACCTCGTGTACATTTTGAATTAACACTCTAATGACTACCCCAGGGCTGCTATAAAATTCTTCTAATAATTTAAGAATAGACTTTTAACTGTTTTTAAAAGCTTTTTTTGTGTTGTTTTTTGGCAGAAGGTAATTTTCCCTTGCTATGGATATAGTATGTTCAGACTTGCATATGTGCTCTGTTCTGTTTTTAAACTGAAAAAAATGTATAAAGTGTGTATATAGAAAAGTGTAAATAAATATTTTTAATCTTTAAACATTCTTGTGTAACCTGTGTAATACTTAAGTGCAGTGTCCCTGAATAACATTCTGCAGGACTTAAAAGTGCAGCTGGTTAAGGAAATGGTCAGGGACATTAAGCTTAATTTGCAATGCTCAGTTAATGGTGCATGCCTCATTATCGCCTAGTGCAGTATGTTAAAAGTTATCCCAGCAGGAAATGCTGGAAGTCCTTGTGTAGCATCAAGCTTTTATCTTGAGCTGTATCTTGTAACCTTCCTTGTTTCCATGGCTCTGGTACATTCACATGTCTTACTCTGTATTTCGAGCGTGAAACAATGTTCTGCGTTGACTTCACAGCTAAATCAACATCAAGACATACATTTAAATGATAAATCTGTGAATCGATGGCCGCCTTTGCTAGTCAGAGTTTGCAAGAGTCTGCTCGTAGCTATCAAACATCATTGAACAGAGGGCTCAGACAACAAATGCTTATTACACACTTGGACTTCCAAGTGTCAGACATCTAGGCCACTCTGCTTTAGCCTCTCTGCAACAAGAATCAGGTGCATTTACTATCTCAGGTTATGGTAAGAAGAGGAAAACAACACAGAACAGGAGGTTGTGATATTTGCTTATTTTCTTAAGCAGTCTGATGAAAACCTTCTTCTTACATTTTTCCTTTTATCTGCCACTCTCTGTTTTTCAATAGTGTCTCACTGTCAAATGAAAATCTCTAGTATAAAGACCTGCTATTGGGAATGTTTGAAAATGACTGTGATTGATTGTTTCATCTTTTTTTTTTTTTTATCTTGTGTTTTAAAATAGCTCCTGATTTTTATTTTAATATTGAAAATGATTTTAAATGATATTTGTACAAAATCACTACTTTCCTCCCTCTTCGGTAACTTGACTTCATTCCGCAATATTTGCATCTAATTTAATGAAATATTATTTTATATTTAATTTATATGTAATATATTTAATTTATATACATATATACTTAGTAAATGTATATATATTTTACGCAGTATCATATTTAATGATACTGTAGGTGCATTTGTGTTGGTCCCGCTGGAATGCATGGCTAGAGAAAGAGCCTCTCAGAGGGTGATGTGTCCCCATTTTCAGTTCAAAGGGAGACCAAACATATTAGACTTGGCTATGGTGGAAGAGGTGGCGAGAGCAGTCTCTTCCCTTTGACAATTGGCAATTATTTTTATTCACCTATTATTTATTGTGAGACAGGCCGTACTCTCAAGAACACCCTTCTGCTGTGACGTTACGCAGGCTGGCATTGCTGACTCCTTAGCACCTTCCTAGTTGGTGGGGAGTCCCAGATAAGGGTTCTGCAGCTTCACAGGGGTGAGCTCTCAGGTTAAGTGGTTCATGGTTACTTGTGCAATATACTTCTCCTTTTTGGAATATTTGCCCTTGTTTTTGGCAGCAGTTCACCTATTTGTGATCACTCAGCTTGTGTGCCTGTGATACAAATGGAAAACTCTTGCTTTCAGTATTTCACATTCTTTATTAACTTCGTGCATCCTGAGCTTGTAAGGTATTTGTTGACAGCTGTTCTCCTTGCCCCTATTCTGGCCTATTAAATTTTACAGATTTTTTTTCAATGTTTTGTAACCAAGACTAGTGGTCATTTGTCCAGTATAAGTGTTTTGGCCCTCTCAAGGGAAAAGATGGGGCTTGTCTGTAAAGACAGTCTCTGCTTCTTACTGTAACACTTCCCACTCTGACACTTCACATGTTAGTTGCACTGAGAGATGCTTTGGGCCACGCTTACTAGTAAAGACACACGGCGGCGTGATCTCCACGTGAGTACCCAGCCGCGTTTCCGTGCCCACTGGAACGGATGCTGCCGTTACACATCTCCGGCTGCGTGCCCAAGCCTTCTCGCTTGATCCTCCCTAGCGCTTTTAGAAACTAAGGAAGTGGTGTATATGTCTGTCAAATATGTCTCATGATGAAGTCTCCCTTTATAACAATTCTCATACATTTTATGGATAAATGTTGCTGAATATTTTTTTTTTCCTAGAGAAATACATAGTTCTGTTAGCTACTGCCCTATTCAATTTTATATTTAATATACTTTTACTAAATTACTCAATTTTACCACACAGATGTTAACTGTCTTACTGGCAGCCTCCTTTCCCACACTCATTTCCAGTATGTCCTGACACATATTCAAAATAGTTTCATTTACTTTCCACCCCCCCCAATATAGTTCATCTCACAAATCATAGTTAAACCAACCACCTAATTCCTTTGTGCAAGAATCTTCTATTTCCTGTGGTTTATTACCTTAGGTCCTAGGATTGGACTGTAAAAAGTCCCTTGGGTAGCCAGATACCACATTCTGTTGTTATGAGTTACTAAATGTTTTCAGTATTTGGATACTGCTGAGGAAAGTAAATGTTTGAATACTGCTCTTAGATTTTACTCTCTCTTCTTTATCCAAGGAAACTGAATGATGCCAACTAAAACCAAATATTTTCCCTATGTGCTGCATTTTTCTTTAATTTCTTTAATCTCAGGGGAAAAATAAAGATGGTCAGTATATTCCTCTTCTCTGCTTCCCTTTCCGGATTTTAGAAGCTGTACAAAATGCATGGAGCTGTGTCAGCTCCATGGTGCTAGCATAACGCACAGCATAAGCACTTCCTGCTGCTCTGGTGTAGTGATAGCCTTGTTTTTCACTCCTGGAAAGCAGGAATTTTTTTGCTATTTTCTTAAGCCACTCAACATTTTGTTGGCAGAATGTTAAAAGTTTGGCAAGTTTCAAGAATTTTAGAGTGCAAAACGTTTTTCCTGATTCTATTTATTTACTGCAATCTGGAACTATTTCTTACTAGCAAGTGACATATTTTTCCTTTCTGTTTCTTCTGACACGTTATCCAGAACCCTGAAAAGAAATACACTGTTAGAAAAATCAGGTGGTGATTATTACCCGAATGAACTATAGGTTTTAAAACAAACAAACCAACCCAAACACATCATCTTTGTTTGGAGCCGATCAAATTACCAACAACCCTAGTGGGACATGTTAGCTGACTTCGGAGAGAGATGAATTTTGCTTTGGTACTGGCACCCAAAAGCAAGGGCAGTAAGGCATAGCTCTACGTAAGTTAAACAAACTGAACATTGCAACCCAAGAAATAGTACAAGCTTCCCACTGCCCAGCTGCTGAGCTAGCCCAACTTCCAAGAAGTTCTGAACCGGAAATAGTTATCACACATGCTTGGTGTTAGTTTTATCCTAGCTTTGCAGTGCAGAGTTGTTTTAGTTTTCCACAGTGAAGAACAATTACAGTGAATATATGTACCTTGTTAAACATGTAAAGTAGGTGTAGGAAGCCATGCTTTTATATTTGCAGTCTGTTCAAAGCAGGACCAAAGACATTCAAATGATTAAAAAGTTTAGTCACTTTCCATTGCTGTAACTTTTGAATATTTTTTACATTACCTACACATGAAAATCACCCAACATCCTCAAGAGATAACGCCTGGGACCAAGCATACAATGTAGCTGCTTCATGTTCCCATTCTTCATCTGCAAGAAGAGACTGATCCTCAGGCTTTTCAAATTGTGACAGTGCCGTTTCTTGATGCCCAGTGAAGTCACTCCCATTTTTAGTAGCTGGTTTCCGTGCCTGTATATAGCATGCATAGGTCCTTATTGCTGTGCTTTTTGAACTATTAAAAATCATGTGATATAACTTGGTAAAGAGACAAACCAAATAAAATTACACCTGAATTGTGTCAAATGCCACAGCAAACTAAACCATGATTCTTTTAAACTGTGCCCAAACTGGCTTGTACAAAACTGGTGCAGCTGAATAGCCAAAAACTTGCTGCACTGGGGAGAAACAGTCTCAAGTACAGAGAGTGTCAGTCTGTGCATTATTAATGTGTGCTCCCTTAGTTCCTGACATGAATTTGGCCTCATTTCTTCTCTGCAGGGAGGAGGAAACATGAATGATGGCACATTACAATAAGTGGTTGGTGGTAGCTGCTGAAGGTAGAAGGATGCCAATGAACAGCCTAGAGAAACAGCTAAGGGAAAACTCTAGATAGCAATTTTCCTAACTGTTTGTGAAAGAGCCTCTGCAAGCCCATTCTATAGTTAAATGCATTTCAGAACTAAACATATGTACTGTCAGGTGCTAAATAGGTAGCTCTTTGGTGGTAATACACCCATAATGCAGTATTCTGAAGGGACTGGTGGGGTTTGATGAACGTGAGAAAGTTTTATTTTGTTTTTGATGCTCCAAAATTAATGGAGAGGTGCAAAAATAGCCTGAACAAATGCCACTTGGCTTGCTACCAAAGTGTAAGGAGATACAGGGGTACTTCCTAGCTAAAGAATACTCTTCCCCAAAATACTGGATTCTGTCCTGAAAGCCACCGCATGCTTCTAATTCTTCATCGTACCTCTCTCTCCTTCTCACACAAATAGGCCCTCTTCATTTTTGCTATCTTTTGCCGAGCTTGAGAAGAGCACCGTGTTGACCGCATGGACAGCCTAGTGAGTCGGTTACAGCAGAACGAGGAGGTGACTGATGAATCGGATGGAAATGAAGACCTAGAAAAGAAGAGCAAAAAAACAACTTGGGAGCTTCTATCAGAAAGGATCTTGTTCTGGACAGAACAAAGGCAGCCATGAAACCAAATTTTATCTTCTAGAAAGGGGGAGAATAATGTTTTTCTTCATCATATTTTCCTGTTATATCAAATGATGGTGGTAGTGACACTAGGCAGGGACAAAATCTAGACTGTTGCTAATGTGCTGCTCAGTTTATCTCTCTTCTTACCTAAACTGCCCAAAGACACTCTGCAGAGCGGTTTGCTTCTCTTCTGAGCTGGTTTCAAGTACCAGAGTAGAGGTTTAGCAGGCAAACAAGTCAGGACTCAAACCCCAGCTTCACTAATACTGTAAGTACAGGCTTGGCCATTCAGGTATGCAAATCCTTCCCTATTTCTCAAGGAATAGCTCACTTGAATCTTGAAAGACACGGCACAGCATGTAGTCATAAACATTATATTCTCCAGAAGTTTTCTCTGTGTGGATGAATGGCAAGTCAGACGGACGATGCTGGAACTCCTCCCACTCTGTGTTTAAACCGTTAAAATTACTTGGAATCGTTCTGATTGCTACTTAGAGCATCAAAAGATGATTGTTAGCTTATACGTTGACCCTGTTTTTAGTAGCATGCAACCTGTTTGATGCACTGCAATATGTTTGCACTCACTGTTACTTCTGTTGGTAATATCAGCAACTTATAAATAGAAGAGCTACTGTTTTATGCAGAAGGAAGAGCCTAGAAGGCTGCAATTCAGAAATGCTGGAACTAAAGATATTGAGAGATTTCAACTATGGAAGGAAAGTCAGCTTGCCTATCTATGGTAATATCAAAACAGAAACTGCATTCAGCTGCATTAAACTGCTTTTTCCACAATAGGTTTCTCTCTTCTACCTGTCACCTATCTTAGACTACAGAATCCGTATTTAGAAAGTACTGAGGATATTTTGGATGACAGCACACAGAAATTCAATCATCCCTTTGATGTAATTAAAGGTAAGTCAATTGGGAAGCACAAAGAAACGCGCGATGGCATCTGCCTGTTCTTAACATGATTTGCTTATAGAGTGTATGACTTCAGAGCTCAGAGCTGCCAAAACAGCACCTCTGGTGAGGACTAAATGCAAAATACTTTAAAAATATACACAGTAAGTTGAAAAGCAAAAGCATGAGGTAAGCCTTGCTCCAAACAAAGCAGCATTATTAAATGCAAAAATCCGCTTAACCCATTTTTTTTCCCTTTTAGAGAATGATTAAAATAATGAAACAGAACATTGATGAAAATACTAACTACGCTTCCTTCATAAAGGCACTGGATAAAATCCGTCATTATATACCCTTTCAAAAGACAGTTCAATGAGATGTTTTAACAAATATATGCTAAAAGAGATGGTAATATACGAAATAGATTTAGAAACCTACCTAGAAAAACTGTATATCTGACATACCTCACCCTACTGTGCTTTGTGGAAACTATTTAAGAAGCCGGATTCCCAACGATAGGTGAAAGCTGCTTGAAACAGAAAGTTCAGTGTATTGGAGCCCTCCTAGCCAGATCTTTTCTATTAACTGTATATTTTCAAAATAACTTGAAAGAAAAAGACATCTGCCTTTTTCTTGATGGCATGAAACTTTGACTTTAAGTAAGAAAATTTTAACTTAAAAAATTCCTGAAAACAGCAAGATGCAGAAAAGCAGTTTATAAAGATTTTTTAAATGAGTTTTAAACAGGCTGATAGACAATAGTGGCATGTCATAGTATTATGTATTGCTTTTGAATGAAGAAAAGGTGCATGGAAAATGGGTTTTGGAAAAAAAAAAAA